GAATATATATTGCTAGTAGCATATGAGTGCTTTGGTTTCCATTCATTTAAAAATTCTTCTCATAAAATAAGTTTCATTGGCCAATAAGTCGGTATTTCCAGGAAATCTAATAACCGGTTTTCCTTCTATAAATACCGAAGCACTGGTCTATTCCTACCACAGTGGGAAATTTAACTCTTGCCCCTTGTAACCTTTTGAAGGTAATTTTTTATCAATGAAATTTTGCACTTAATTTGAAGTCTAAGTTTAAGAGATTTTTTTCATTTCTGAAAGAGACGTTTTTTAGACTATGAAAATACAATTTTTGGGCTTAGTGATTTTTTTCTTATATTTCGAAGTGAGTATTGCCTTTAGAAAAAGTATTTTGTTAATATTTATTATTTTCAAAGTCCGTATGTATTGCGATATTGTGTATTTATATATGTTTCAGGTCTGTCATTACTTTTGCGCAAGTTTAAACAAGAAATATTAACAAATGTCTTTGCAAACTCTGTCATATACTTTTGAACTTTTTTTGGAAAAAAGTGTGTTAAACTGACATTAAATTTGACAGAGTAAATCAAATTAACTAATTAAATTTCATACCTGTGAACACTGCTTCAGGATTCTTAACTTATAAAAAATAATGTTTTTATGTGGCATTATTGTGGAAAGAATTTCTTGCACTTTCAGAAAGCAGCTATTTACAGCTTTTCTATTTCAGTGGTTTAAATTTTTTATCAATTGAACAGTGTCATGAATGAATCTTTATTGATTTTTGCTTCCTTTGAACTGAATTTGAGTTGGAGGTACATCTGAATCTTAATTTTTATGATAAAAGGTCTTCGTAATTTATTGTAAAATCTTGCGAATATCTAGGGAAAAATGATACATAGAAAAATGAATTAGGAGAGAAAAAATCAAGTACATGTATTTAAATCAAAGTTATTTTTTTTTAATTACGAATATCAAAATCAATCAGACTTTACGTCTATGATATATCTTAGAAATTCCGACCAAGGTAAGGTAATTTGCATCAACTCATTGGTTTAAATAAAAATAGTTATATTTATTAAAGCTTTTACGTCCTGATCAAGTAAAGTATCTAAATATAAGACAAATGTGTCAGAATCTTCTAAATAATGAAATAATTATTGTTCACATATGAAGCGCAGTAGATTCGGAAACTTCAAACTTTTTGGTAAAATGCAAAATTAAATAGATCAGAAAAGCAACGGATAAAGAATAGGATTATCTATTGTAAGTCTTAGGTTGATTTAAAAAAAACAATATGGAGTCTTCACAAAACATCTATAAATAGAAAAAAGTATGCCTATCGAACATTAAAAAGTTCAACACTCTCCCGGGTATAATTCATATCTATATGTAAAAATAATTATATAAAAGAGTCTAAGGATAATGACCAAAAAAAAATCTGCTTGAATCATCCTCTTCTGTTGCAGAAATATATATTCCAAACTTTCGCATGAAACATTACCAAAGATTTTCTTATATGAATTTAAGTTTGAAGAATTTTCATTAAATAATGCTTTCTATACAATTCGAAGAGCACTTTGCAAGTACTGTAAGACACAAACACTCGGGTCCGACAAAAAAATGTTTCAAAGTGAACAGTTTGCATCTCTACAGATAGTTTCATATGACGTATTTTCTCTCCAAGTGATTTCCCTTGACCGCCATCTCGGTGGTCAGCCTAATAATTTTACTTCTTTGTCTTACCTAATTCAAGAGGATGAAGCAAATTTATTTGAGGTAAATTTTTTTAAGGAATTAAAATTATGAAATGAAGGAGGCTCTTAGCAAATATACCCGGTATATTTTTCAGAAAGACTCCCTACCCCACAATTGCTAGTAGAAAAGATGTTCAAGTTGGTTGAAGGAATATGAGATTCTAAAATTCATTAATCATGTATACTATTACATGTATTTTGTGTTCCTGATTCTACGGTCTGCACTCATAGACAAATTCTGATAGCGAAAAACATCAAACGAACCCAGTAGCACAAGGTTTTTCTATTATATTTCTTCAGTGAGTCCTTCGCCCTCACTTAACATTCGTCTCCTGATTCGAGGCAAAATGCACTGAAACCTAATATATTATTTTTGTTACTATTAAGTCATTTTTTATTATTCCTACGTCATATTTCATAAGACACTCGTCCTTATATTTACCCTTTTTGTAGCATTTTTCTCCGATTTCTGGTAAAGTAGATACATGTATCTATGAAACATAAGTGCAATTTGTTTCAGGTCTAAAAATATGGAAGCCTCTAAATTTTTGCTTATTGCACTGGTGCTTACAATATGTGCAGTTATCTTTCAACTGATTGGATTAGCGTCGCCTTATTGGATGTTAATTGAGACAACGACATTCAAAAGTAATTCCGGCTTGTGGAAGTCATGTACTGAAATTGTTTTGACTGGAGACACCACGTGCAGCGATGTGACTATACCAGATGGTTATACAGGTACATTCTTTAAAAAAATCTATTATGATTTTTCCTCAGATTTGTTTTTGAATGGGAAGCATTTGATGTAAAAAAATTATTAAACAAAATGGATGTCTAATGTATCTTTTTGAATGTCAGACTAATTCTTAAGGATATTAATAAAAGAGATGAATACAAAATTTGATGTAAAAAAATTATTAAACAAAATGGATGTCTAATGTATCTTTTTGAATGTCAGACTAATTCTTAAGGATATTAATAAAAGAGATGAATACAAAATTCCAAGTTTTCAAAATCAAAGGTAAATACATATATGCTAAACTATTGGGGAAAAAACATTAAATTTAAAACTCTTTTCTGTTGCGTTTTACACATCAGATGTTACCATTAAATAATTATGTATATTTTTAAAGACGATATCAACGCAGCCCGAGCAATGGGCATCCTTGGGTTGCTGGTATTGGTGGCAGCAGCAATCATGACGGTGTTAAAACTGTTCGTTCTAAAAGACATGAAACCGATTTTATTCGGGGCAATTGGTTCAGCTTTAGCTGGAGGTGAGAGACATAATTAAGGAGGTATCTGTGGGATTCTATTTTTTTTTATTTCATTTTGTCATAATTTAAAGGCTCTTATAGTGTTATAAATATACAGCTCCGTTCATTGTTTAAACTCACATGGTTTTTCGCAATAAGGTCACATTGTTCAGATGCAAAATTGTGTAGATAGGCAACAAGATATATTTTAAAGTGATTGTTCAATCCCTTTCATGGCATATACACATTTCTACGCATCTGACTTGAAAAACAAGTATAGTGTGAACAACAAGAGGCCCACGGGCCTTATAGGTCACCTGAGTATGGTGTAAAAAATTTCGAACAATTGAATTTGGTTCCTGTTTTGAACCAGAGGCCATGAAATTCACAATTTTGAAATAGGCACCATTGCTTATTATAATTATACACTTAGCATGCTTACTCTAGTTACTTTATACCCAGAGATATTATATCAGACTAACAAAGAGAAAATGCACTTCCACTTTATAACCAGTTATACACCCCATCCAAAAGGAACCACTGACCCCGGGGCCACTGATTTCAAAATTTTGGAAATTTTTTCATAAATTTTATTTCATCATAAAGGGTTGATTAATACCAAAGAGCAGATTTCAAAGCATTAATTTATTTTCAGACTATGTACCCCCTTCCCCAATACCCTTGACCCACGGGGCATGAAATTAACCATTTTGCTAGATGCTCCCGTTTTCCATCATAAATATATGTACTTAGAACATTGGCATAATACCCTGGAGCAAAGGAAAAGGTTTTCATGTATATATTTCCACTATATAACTATATAATCAAAAGAGCCCCCCAGCCTTACACCAGAACCCCTGACCCTGAGGCCATAAAATTCACAATTTGAAAAGAGGCATTCTTGCTCATTATAACTATGTGCTTAGTTAGTTTATTTAATACCCAAAGGCAGAGCAGAGAAAATTTTCAAAGAAATAATGCATTTTCACTATAGAATCAATTGAGCCCCGCCCTAACACCAGAACCCCTGACCCTGGGGCCATAAAAATTACTGTGGATTATATTCAATTAATTTCTTAATTTTTTAAAGATATATTTTGGCTTCTACTAATGAAAAAAAAACACCTCAGTTTGTTCTTCATAATTAGATATAACCAATAAATTTATTTTTTTCAAAGGTGACTCCACGACAGATCTTAAATTCCCGTCAGGAATATCTGTTTGTCAATAAGGTTTTTGATATATATTTTCCTTGTAAGGATTGTAGTAATAAACTATTAAATCAATCTTATAATTTATTTATATATATTTTTTATAAAATGACGTACTTTTACTGTGTAAGATAATATGTGCCTGTTTCGGATTAAGCGGCTTTAAGAAAAAAAAAAAAAAAAACAAGCTAATTCAGAGAATTCGTGTCCCCCGCTTAGGGAAAAAGTCGGCTCCCCCTGACTGAATTTGTAGAATTATTAAATGTATACATGTATACGGAAGGAAATAAAATACATGTATGTCAATATGCATATAAAGATTTGATTGCTTATTCTTTATTATGTGTATAGAAGATTTTTTATATGGAATATTTATCACACTGTAATGATGATTTTATAACCTCATAAATTTTTCATTTCACATGCTGAATACTATCATTTAGTAAAAAAAAAAAAAAAGAAGGTATTTAGAAAAAAAAAATGAAAGGATCGACTGAGAATCGATCCCGGGACCTCTCACATTCGAAGCGAGAGACATAACCACTACACCACGGTGTCGCTTTACAAGGTGTGAAGTATATGCAGAATTGAAGTCACATACATGTATATATTCATGTTTTCATGTTCGGTATTCTCAAAATTTTACACAATCCATGGTGTTTGATTTATTTAGCCTTTATCAAACAGTTCTAATAGATGTAATAAGAACATAAAGTCCGCTGAGAACCTGTTTTATACGCAATAACTCTCCTCATGCCCCTGCGCTAAAAATAGCGACAAGTAATACTATAAATACTAATATTTAACAAACGGGGCGGGGCACTTTGAGAGGGGCGAGAGACGTCCTAGGGAGTTTTGGTATAAAATTACATTGCATAAGCTCAAAATCTTCTTGAAATATCGCCCGGAAATGATAGTGTTACACACAGACAGAATGTATACATTTACGACCTTGAACTTTGACCTTTTGACCTCAAAATCAACAGGGGTCTTCATTAGGCCACATGGAGTTGTTATGTAAAATTTCATTGCAATAGCTCAAATGGTTCTAGAGATATCGTGTGGAAACGAAAGTTTTTTAACAGACAGAATTTGCTTATTTATGACCTTGACCTTTTGACCTCAAAATCAATAGGGGTCTTCTTTAGTGCATAGGGAGTTGCTATGCTAAATTTCATTGCAAAAGCTCAAAGGGTTCTCGAGATATCGTGTGGAAACGAAAGCGTTACAGACAGACAGAAAGACGGACGGACGGACGGACAGACGGACGGACGGACAAACCCAAATTAATATCCCCCACTTTTCAAGCCGGGGACAAAAAAAAAAAAAAACAAGATGTGTTTGTGAAACACTGATGCCCACGTATGGCAACATATCAAAGATTAAACTTTTCTTAAATGCATATTTAATTAATTGGTACCAAAAGTAGGGTATTCTCACTGGAAAACAATTGTGAAATTTGAAAATAAGCCAATGTTAAAGTTTTTTTTCAATAAGTACAAACTCTCCAAGGTCAAGGTCAAAATGTCAATGCAAATTGGTATCAAATGAAAGGCCTTGCCACGTAGAATACTTATGTAGAGCATGAAAGCCCAAGCCCTAAAAGTTCAGAAGTAATGGCCAAGGTTCAATTTTTTAAAAAGTAGGTCAATTTCCAAGGTCAAAGTTCTTGTTATGAAATGAAAGGTCTTGTCACAAGAATTAGATATGTTAAGTATGAAAGCACTAGCCCTAAACCTTTAAAAGTTATGGTCAAAGTTTGCTTATTTAAAGTAGATCAATCTCAAAGGTCAAGGCCAAAGTTCTTTGTATTTAATAAACGGTCTTCTCACAAGGATTACATTTATGAAGTATGAAAGCCCTATACCTTACCGTTCAAAAGTTATGGCCAAGGTTAAAGTTTTTTCACAAGTACGGAAATCTATAAGGTCAAGGTCAAAGGGTCAAGGTTGTTGGTATCCAATGAAAGGTCTTTTAACAAAGATTACATATGTGAAGTATAAATGTCCTGGTATCTACTGTTCAAAAGATATGGCCAAAGTAAAAGTTTAAAATTTTCATGTATAATTTGGTCAAAATCCAAGGTCAAGGTAAAAAGGTCAAATTTGGTGGTACCCAAAGAAAGGTCTTGTCACAAGAAATACACCTTTGAAATTTGAAAGTCATGGCTCCACTTAATCAAGAGTTAAGGGAAAGGTTAAAGTTTTTGCGGACAAACAGACAAACAGAGAGACAGAGAGAGAGACAATGAGGCAGACAGACGGACACGACAAAAACTATATACCCCCGAAACTTATATACTCCCAAAACTTCGTTTACGGGGGCATAAAAAGAATGAAACTCTATATTTGATTAATGATAATGCGTGGTTGTAGTTCGTTGCCATGGCAACTGAAATGATATTTTTATGATCATTTTCAAAAACTACACAATACCTGCTTTCAGAATAAATAAACATTGGTATATAGAAACATTACAAGAAATACCCGAAAAAATGCATTGAAATCTTAACATCAATTTGTTCAGGAATGCTTAAAATCTGTGCCATGGAAGGGGTTAACTAACATGTAGTTTTGTTTCACTTACTTAAAACATAATTGACGCAAAATAATAGATGGGATTTTGACTTGATCCTGGCTGATATATTCCAAATGGCTTTTCATCGTTTATTGTTAAATGCAGTCCTCTTTGTATTAATTCATTCCTTTGAAAGCAGTCCTTTGCCACATAGAAACAGTGCAGCTCAAGTAACTTCTGTATTTTCTGTACTTTAACATGGCCCTAAGCGAAGGGTGATAACGGTTTTACCACCTGTTTGACTGCAATTAAGTTAAAAAGCTGGTAGGGCCCCTATTTTTAATCCCCCGTAAACGAAGTTTCGGGGGTATATAGTTTTTGTCGTGTCCGTCTGTCTCTCTGTTTTTCTGCAAAAACTTTAACCTTGTCCATAACCTTTGATTTAGTGGAGCTATGACATTCATATTTCACATGTGTATTCCTTGTGACAAGACCTTCTTTTGGGTACCACCAAATTTGACCTTTTGACCTTGAGGATTGACCCACTTTTACACAAAAAAATTTGAACTTTTACTTTGGCCACATCTTATGAACAGTACATACCAGGACATTTATACTTGATATATGTATTGTTTGTGGCAAGGCCTTTCATTGGATACCACCAACCTTGACCTTTTGACCTTGACGATTCACGTACTTATGAAAAAAACTTAAACCTTGGCCATAACTTTTGAACGGTAGGGGATATGGCTTTAATACTTCACACATGTAATTCTTGTGAGAAGACGCTTCATTGGCTACCAAGAACCTTGACCCTTTGACCTTGGAGTTTGACCTACTTTAAAAATACAACCTTGACCATAATTTTTGAAGGGTTAGGAATTGGGGTGTCATATTTCACCTATTAGATCCTTGTGACAAGACCTTTCATTTTATACCAAAAACCTTGACACTTTGACCTTGACCTTTGAATATGACCCTTTTTTACACAAAAATTCCAAATTTTACTTTGACTCTTATTTTTAAACGGTGGATACTAGGAATTTCATATTTAAAAATCAATTTTTATTGGCAAGACCTTTCATTTGAAACCAACACTTTTGACCTTTTGACCTTGACCTTAGAGATTTCCGTACTTAAAAAAAAACTTTAACCTTGGTCATATCTTTTGAACAGTAAAGGCTAGGGCTTTTATATTTCAAATGTATAATCCTAGAGACAAGACCTTTCATTTCATATTTCACATTTGTATTTATTGTGAAGAGTATTGAGAATTAAGAAAAATAATGACTATTGAAAGATTTTTTTCCTTATGTTATATTCCATCATATCATAGATGGAAAATGATGAAATCTTTAAGTTCGTAACTGTATATGTAAAAGAAATGTGAAAAATTGTAAATTAGAACTTTTTGATTTAAAAATTTAATAACGATTTATTTAGACTGAAAATCAATTATCAAAGCATCCGAAAAATAAAACGTTTTGTTGTTGATTTTTTTTTAAGGTTTACATAATTTTTTTTATACTTGAATTTTATGGACTATGTTGTATACATGCCATTGGTAACATGTATTATTACAATTTTTACAATTAACTTCCAGTCTCATTTCATGCTAATCAGTATACAAGATCTTATTTAAAAGTTTGAATTTACTCAGAAAATGACAGAGAATTTCAACAATTACTTTTCCTGGCTGAGCAACAGGCATCCTTAATATCAAGTGAAAGAATCAGTCAATCATTTTTAAGACGAGCTTTGTTATATGCAGATTAACATATTTTTCTCCAGTTAATTACGAATTATTTGTGTTTTCTTTTTTGTAGCGGTGTTTATCCTTATTTCAATAGCAATATATGCAGCCCGAGCGAAGGACTTGTCACCGTTCGACTTCGATTACCACTTTGCTTTCGCCTTTAGCATTATAGGAATGATAGCAGCGATAGGTGCAGGGGCCGTCATGTTGGTTGAGATCATTAAAGGATAACTAAATTGCAAACTACTTTTGTATGAAATATTTTGAAAATAAAAAAAAAGAATTAGACATACTAGCATACAATCCGGTGTTTTTAATCTTTTATAAATATTAGAAATCCGAGTGCAATTAACTCATTATCATCAAATGATATATGAAACTAGATTATAATCAAATGATATATGAAACTAGATTATATTTAAAAAAAAAATTATTTGCCTCATAACGTACGCATACATTGTCCATGTTTGTGTAACAAGTATATAAGAAGCAGGACAAAAAAATTATGTAAAAAAAAAAGTTAATGTAATAATGGGCCGTTATCAGTTTAAATCATCATCGCAAACAAACATCATTTATAATGGATAATGTTATGCATGAAACATTATAAGTCGGTAAATACATCTAACATTCAATTTTGCTTATCTAAAATATAATTTTGAGATACAGCTGATTAATTTTATTTATGTTAGTAAATAACTATCATAAAATCTAATTCAAATAATTTTGCTAAAATTGAAAATCGCTGAATACTATTATTTATTTTTTAATAAAATCATTTAAGCATATATTTTATGTCTGACAAGACGAAAATAAAATCGATATATTTTAGATTCCCTTTATTTACAACAAACAGCAGACGCGTTAATTTTATTTTGTTTGCTTAATTTGGCGCTTCTGGTCGCAATGATCAATTTGCTGGTTTACCACAGAGCTGCCTCACAATCAACCATCAATAAAAAAAATTATCATGACTGTTGTACATGTAATTTTGGGGCCAAAATATCATTAAAGAAGAAGAAAACACTAGAGCACGTGTTAGGCTACTCCATTCATTCGAACTACACACAAAAGATTACACATAATTATGACGTAGAAAACATCAATTACTATGGCAGTATGCATGACAAACGGACACGCACATTTCCGGATTATATACTCAACAACCCCCTTTAAAGATGAATACTATTAAGAGAACGTATAAAAATTTTAAAAAGTTAACTTCCAGGATAAAGTTCGTTAATGTTTCAATGTATGATAAACATCAGACTAAAATAGGAAGCAGATAAATAGAACTTTAGCAATTGCAGCACATGGCAAGATCAAGAACAAAATAATACTTTCATATGACTAGAAACAGCTGAGACACATGAAATCTAATTTTAACTGTTGATCATATGATTAAATATAATTACAAGTCAAGTCTCTGGTTTGGTTTTCGGATACGTTGCAGATAACGATTTGTTATGTTGTCTGGTTTTGGCAGCGGTATCAAGTGTTTCGTACCTAACGGTACTGGTTTTTCTTTCAATAGTGACATGGTAGGTTTCTCAGGAACTTAAAGATATATCGGGCAGCGCACATACAAGGCTAGAGGAAGTTCACTTCGTACATCACTCTGTAATACGATCTATTCCATTTGGTCAACGTGCATGCGCCATGTTGAACCATTCACATCGACTTGATAAGACAATGAACCGGTCCTCGAAGTACGTTTCCTTTAGTCTATCTCCTTCCTTCCCTGTACGGACTAGTTCAGATTGACCATTTTTGAATTCATGGATATGAGGTCTGACATGTTTTGGCACATCATGTTGCTTCTTGTGAACTTTGTCAGTGTTTCTTTTCACAAGCTCTAGGACGTTTCGACCATACATCATTATGGACTGGATTTGCATTCGTTGTTGCGTGAGGAGTTGTGCAATACTTGAAAAGGAAAGCATATTAACTTTTGGTTCGGGGTTAGGGATTTGTTGTTGTCAGCACTTTTGATTGTGCGTTTGAAAGATTGTACAAATCTTTCAGCTTGTCTATTTGTGCGAGGATGGTACGATGTTGTGTGTCTTATTCAATTCTGGGCCATGATTTTTAGCTCTACTGGTCAGAGACCAGAAGAGCTTATGCGATAGTAATGCGTCCGTCGTCCGTCCGTCTGTCTGTCTGTCTGTCTGTCTGTCCGTCTGTAAACAATTTTTCAAAATGCTACTCCTCCTACAGTTTTGGTCTGATTTCAATATAACTTGGCACACAAGTAGACTACACTAAGATACATAATTCTGTATATCGGTTTTTGATTTCGATGAACGGTGTTGCTGTTGTTACTAAAAATAGAAATTTTTGTGAAAATCATTCAAAATGCTACTCCTCCTACAGTTTTGGTCTGATTTCAATATGACTTGGCATACAAGTAGACTACACTAAGATACATAATTCTGTGTATCGGTTTTTGATTTCCGTGAACGGTGTTGCCGTTGTTACTAAAAATAGAATTTTTTTGTGAAAATCATTCAAAATGCTACTCCTCCTACAGTTTTGGTCTAATTTCAATATAACTTGGCACACAAGTAGACTATACTAAGATACATCATTCCGTTTATCGGTTTTTGATTTCGATGAATGGTGTTGCTGGTGTTACTAAAAATAGAATTTTTTGTGAAAATCATTCAAAATGCTACTCCTCCTACAGTTTAAATCTGATTTCAATATAACTTGGCACACAAGTAGATTACACTAAGATACATAATTCTGTTTAGTGGTTTTTGATTTCCATGAACGGTGTTGCCATTGTTACTAAAAATAGAAATAAAAAAATACTTTCAAAATGCTACTCCTCCTACAGTTTTGGACTGATTTTATTATAACTTGGCACACAAGTAGACTTCACTAAGATACATAATTCTGTATATTGGTTTTTGATTTCAAAGAACATTGTTGCCGTTGTTACTAAAAATAGAAAATTCTGTGAAAAACCTTCAAAATGCTACTCCTCCTACAGTTTTGGTCTGATTTCAATATAACTTGGCACACAAGTAGACTACACTAAGACACTTAATTCTGTTTATAGGTTTTTGTTTCAATGAACGGTGTTGCTGTTGTTACTTAAAAAAGAAATTTCTTAGAAATACATTTAAAATGCTACTCCTCCTACAGTTTTGGTCTGATTTCAATATAACTTGGCACACAAGTAGACTACACTAAGATACATAATTCTGTGTATCGGTTTTTGTCATTATTCTATTTATTGCTTTTGTAAAGTTTTATATCATAACTGCTACTTTTCTCTTTCTTTATTATAACTACAAACCAGTAGAGCTTCAGTCTCGACAGAGACTTCTGGTTTAAATTTTGGCGAAATAAATTGCGGGCCTTGTCAGAAACCACTTCATTCAGTTGATCACGAGGAGTTGTTTCGATGCTTTATCAAACTCCAAATGATGGTATGCTTTGGTAAGATCAATTTGCGAGAACTTCTTCCCTCCAGAGAGATTGGCAAAGATATCATCAATTTTAGGTAGCGGATATTGATCCCTTTCAAATCTGGGTTAAATGTGACTCAATAATCACCACATATGCGAATCTCACCATTCTTTTTCAGGACTGGAACATTTGGCGTTGCAAACTCACAGTGTGCTACAGGTTGTATATATGATCTCTTACATCTGAAGTCGTGCCTGTGTCCAGCTCCATGCGAAAAAATCTACCAGCTACAGTGGATTTCACGATAATGGGTTTCGACTGTGTCCCCTGTATGCTTTTCACATCGATATGTAGGATTTGGTCATCATTCGATTCTGGTGTTGATATCTTGGTGTTGTTGCAAACTATCTCTGCGTTTCCCCAGGCACCCCTTCTCGATGTGTACATTAATTGAACAAAAACGTCACACAGTATTGATATGTTTACACTTATCTGGTTTATGGTCACCCTCGCATCGAAAACAAAGTTGCATAGGTACATTCTTTTGTATGTGTGGTCTCTTAGATGTGAATGTTTTTGTGTGTACATTGTTGGTCGTTGTTTCCATTTGCTACTGTTGTCTTTATAGCTTTGTCCAAGGTCAGATCATCCTTTGATAAAAGGTTTTTTTTGGATGTGTTTATCACGTAGGCCTCACACAAATATAACACGTGGTATATTACCTGAATGATCAACAAAATTGCAATGTATTATAATTGGGAGATTGTGCAGATCAGCTTTGTACTTTAAAATTGTTTCGCCTTGATTTTCGTTCCGCTTGTGGAACCGGAAATTTTCTGCAATAACAAGGGGTTTAGGGTTCAAGTATTTATTGAGATGATCAATCAGCACTTCAAATGGTTGTCAGTTTCTCTCCCGATTACTATATATTGTCTTATTTCAAGCGGGGTATAAAAAATGAATTACACAGAAGTTTAATTTGAGTTGAGATTTCCAATTAACTCATTTAAGAGGTCAACACCTAGTATCAGAAAATATACCAACAGAGGCTCTCAAAAATGAGTTAATAATGCACCATTTAACCCTCCACTTGAAATGTGGGAGGGTATATAGTGATCGAGATGTCCATCCGGCTGTCACGCTCTAGGGTACCAAACTCTTTTCCACAATTCTTCTTATACTACTGTATGAATTTTAACGAAACGTCCACAGAATCTGTGTTATATAGTGCCTTTGTGCATCTTCAATTTTACTTTTTGGTCGGACACATTTTTGGGTTTCCCATAGCAAAACATGAACACGGTCATTCTTTTTATAAATATTGAAGTGTACTCGTATTTTATCCGCAACTCCTCCTATACCATTGAAGAAAATTTGATGATACTTTCACAGATTTTTTTTTAATTACATAATACCATTCTGCACCTCCTATTTTATTTTTTTTACTATTATTTCGTGTCTCCAAGAACAAAACATGGATTTTTCCATCATAATGATATGGGAGGCGCAGGTATCATTTAGTGAACTCAGTGCTCACAGTACTAAAGTCTTTTATTTGTTTGATGACAAGTGATGGTGATTAATGAATGTCATATTACCGTGTAAATTCAACTTTCGAATTATCCTTTCATTAATTTTTACGCATATGCACCGTAATTCTACACTTTAAACTATCTGCTAATAGTTTCCTTATTCGGTTCGCCTGTAATGCGTAATAAATTTGGCACAACAATAGATTTCAAAGGCTTATGGAAAAGACATACTAAGCACCCATGTTTGTTCAAACATTCGGCACATTCAACGTTTGAAACTGATAACATTGAACCCCCCCCCACCAAAAAAAAAAAAAACTTCTTAAAGTCTACTAGATATCAAAAGGAATAAAAAACATTCTTCAAATTTTTTTTTGTTTGTATAAGGTCATGGGTAAACCACTTCTCTGTTCAGAAAGTCGCTTTCCTTCTCAACTTTTTCAAAACCTGTTTGTTGATGGTAAACACGCCATAGCACGATGATTTCAACACTGCAAGATAAAAAATCTATCTTAAAAATGTTATACTTGAAACTATGCTCGCTCCTCCATTGCACCTGATCCCGCCTCTGATGTTTTGAAGGTCCATGTTTGCTCTGCTCTTATTTTGTATTGTTTTAAGGACTTTTGATCTTGAATACTGTTTGTTATCTCCACATGTTTCATTTAAGAAACTTCAAATTGATAATAAGCATGTTGTTTATCTGACAGAGCAGAAAACTATAACGTTCAGCCAAGCCCATCTTTATTTTTTTTTTCTAATTTGAACTACGGGGAATTAAAAAAGTATTTATAAAATCAAAAGATGCGAAATAAATATATATAAAAAAATTAAGGTAATATTTAAATCTATAAAAACAAGAGGCCCACGGGCTTTATAGATCACCTGAGTATAATGTAACAACTTTCCAACAATACTCCTTATTCACGGATTGCGTCATCGAATTTCAAAACGAGGCTCGGAAGCAAACAAGATGGCGAGTTCCAGTACATGTGCAAACAATACGGGTACAGCGTATCATTGTTGTGTCCCATTGTGCAAGAAGGATATGGAGATAACGAACAGTATGTAATCTCAAAGTCCATAAAACAATACAAAATAAGAGCAGAGCAAACACGGACCCCGAAACATCAGAGGTGGGATCAGGTGCCATGGAGGAGTGAGCATCCCCTGCCGACCGGCCATACCCGCCGTGTGCTCCTTGTCATGATCAGGAAATAACGGGAAAAATCCGTCGTCAATTCAGTGTATAAATAATGGACTAACAATTGGTATGAAAAACGTCAGTCAGCATTTGACTCAATGATAAACTGTATTTGCTGACAAGGTCATTGTATCGATCACAGAACTTAGGAAATGAAGACTTTAAACGAGACTGCTGATATTCTTGTTTCGTCAACTTGCTTGTCAATAATTTACCTCGTTTTAGAAATTGTTCATACGTAGAGCATGCTCTTGCGTATCGAATCAACTGAGATATATATACTCAGTATGCAGGTGATGAAGGTATATTGCTGCATAAGTAAGGGAAGTTGACGATAGAAAAGTTAAAGTCATCACGTTAATCA